CTGTCCTATAAAATTTTATGTTTTAAATTTGTTGTCTGGACTAGATTGATGTACATTGTTTGATGGTGTGTTGAATTTCTTATTTATCGTTTTAGTCTGACCTGCCAGGGACAACAGATGAAAAGTAGCCTTTTGGCTAACTCTGTTTATTTACATTGATGTATATTAAACAATGTGCAATGTCCCTTTTAAATAAATAATATCAATGTATTGAGTTATATGTTGCATTATTAAGACCTTTAAAGTTCTATGTAACATCCCAGTGATAGAAAAGAAAATAGCTTCCTTTAGCGCAGGACCTTTTTTTCACACCTGTTACTAAGCAGACAAGACAGAAAGCTCTGTCCTCTTTTCTCAAGGTGTGCATGTTGAGAAGATTAACATGCAGTTCAGCTTTATTAATAAACACTGCATCTGCTCACGTGCAGCATGCAGCAGGCATAAATAAAATAGGTCATTCATTAACAAAGCAGGTCATCTATGTTTATTTTGTCAAACACTCCTTGTTTCATGGACAATTGTTTAGTTGATTTTGTTTCTTTTTTTAATCTTTAATGTTTCATCTTTCATGCTAGTTTTACTGTGGCTAAAATTGCAATAATCAAAGAGCTGACAGCCGTGATGATGGTTACAATAAAGGAAGGTATTTGACCGTGAGCCACCTGCAACTCTTTCACTTTCATCTTTCACTCTTCACATGCTGTTAAACTGTTGTTGGAAAAACACTATCCAGGATGATATGGGATAAATTTTAAAAAAAAAAAAAAGGCAGATACCAAGAAGCGATTGTGCTCTAAAAGATGGTGGCTGCTTGATGAGCCTTTATCAGAAATAATCAATAGTCAGTGAAAGTTTTTTTTATCCTCCTGGGCCCACCCACAGATCAGATTTCCACTAAGCCTTTAATTGGTGATGACATCACTAAAATTACATTTATGAACATGATAGAGGGAGAGTGACCTGAATGCTTTTAAAAGGCTTTTTAATTATAAAAGGGGAAGATGGGTTTTTTCAATGGTTTGTTTTTTCGTTTTTTGTTTTTGCAATACCTCAAGTGGCTATTAGTAAATATTAGCACTTACAAAGTGGCATCATTCCTCCCTGAATATGTTACATTTGTTGATGCATTACCACCGGCTGTGCATCAGTAAACATGAGGAAAATGTATCATGTCACCTGTGTGTGTGTGTGCATACACAAGATTGCTTTTCTATCAAATAGCATAATCTGAGGTCATACTGACATGGGGAATTGTTCACTTATTCATGTGAATAATGTCTTGGCATAATATGTCTCAACATAATACAGCAAGAGCAATATGGCGTGATGTGTGTCAGCCAGCTGCTCTCTTGCACTGGCAATCTAAAGCTCGATCTGTCACTTTGGTGCTAATGGAAGGAGAGAATTTTGAAAAAGTAGACAGAACCATACCAAGGCTGATGGAAAGAAGTCTGATGCTCTTTTGTGTCCTTCTCACTTAGGCACTTGCTAATGGCATAGATATGACAGTAAGTGCCCAGGGTTAAGTGGCCAGCCGGACAACCTCAGCTGATTTCAGAGGAGCCAAAGAAAGTCTGAGGTTAAAGGGCAAGCAATCAGTGTCACACAAAATATAGCAAGTTTATTCAGACCGCAACACTCATCCCTCTTTGTAAGGACATAGAGAGCTGTCCCTTGAGCAGTAAAAAAAATCATCTTGGAAAAAGTTCTGTAACAGTTTCAGCAATTGAGGCATTGGTTTTAGATTGATTTTAGATTGCCTGCAAAAAGTCTTGATTTTTTAATAGCTGAAAAGCAGAAGAATATTTATTTAGAGTGCTAGACATTAAGATGAGATGTGTAGAAAAATGATTGATGCCTGTTATTTTACACTGCCTTTTTACGATATTGTGTTTGAAGGAATGAAATTCCTTAGGTTTGAGTGTTTTATATATAACACTATATATAAGCTAGTCAGTAGTGGAGTTTTTATACTTTGCTGCTTACTGTTTCTTTTCTGTTTCAGTCACTGTTCACTTTGACAGTTTACTCACTGTTAGGTAAGGTTTAGGCACTAAATAACTTGGTTATATTTAAGAAAATATCATAATTTGGTTTACAATGTACTTGTATATGACATAAACCTGTAATCTACCAAGTCCTATCAAATATCCCACAAAAGGATGAAGACAAAACATTTATACACCAGTACTAAAATATCAGCTTCATAGGTTTAGCTTAAAATTACTTACTTCTCTGGCCAATATCCATGACCATCGGATGAGTACAAAAATTACAATGACTTTTGTTAGAGTTCAATTTGGCTTCCTTCTGAAGTGTAGAACTTTTGACCTTGGGTGGGTCAGTGTCATATTTTTCCTGTGAGAACGAGTTAGAGATTTGGCACAATTGTACTTCCCCATATAATGTATCATTTGATTGTTTCTGCCAGCCTTTTTCTCCCTGTGTGTGAACATGACACCTGAGCAGTTGCCTTTCCATCTTTCCTCTGTCTAATCTGCACCATTGTTTGGTAATATCAAGTTCCTCAGCCAGGCTTTCTATTTTCTGAGAGTACAGAACTAGAAAAGGGCAGACGTGGTGATGATATCTGTTTGGAAAAGGCAACAACATTGAATGGAGGCTGTTTCCTGTAATGTTGGGACGAGGAAAGGGCAAGCTGAAAGCCAGTGAGACTGGGAGACAGGCTGACAGGGTTAGACATTGTCTGGTAGTACAGGTGAAGGGCATGCAGAGGAGACACTGTCTGAGGGGAGAGGACTGTGGTAGGGCAGCCTGTTGTACTATAGTGACATTTACAGTATAACATGCACAGAGCTTTAAAAACAAAGGCCAAGGAGGGACAAAGCAATAACAGCAGTGAGATAGGGAAGTACACAAGGGCAGCAGAGTGCTCCAGAATCACAGAGACATGAAAAAAATAATGGTTTAACCTTTGACATTATTACTGCTTGGCAAATGTGCAGGAGTTGTGGGGAAAAAAACAACAAGGTCATGAAGGAAAATCCATCCTAAAATGACAGTGTGTGTTTTTACAGATGACCACACCCCACTAACACCAACACTCAGTCAATTCAATTTAATTTATATTAGTGCCAAATCACAATAGCAGTTGCCTCAATGCGCTTTATATTGCAAGATAGAGACCCTACAATAATAGTATAGTAGTTCTATCAATAGCCTACCATGTACCAAATGAAACAGAGGTTAGGTGATATTTGAAATTATCACATGACAGATGTTTTTGTTCTTGTTGTCGTTGTTGTTTTTCCCCACTGGCTTTTCCTGTGTGCTTCAAAGCCAGAGAAGTGCAAATTCATGTAGTTTTCATTTGCACCTCAATTTGCACTTCCCTGACTGATAGCACACTATTTGCTTTGTAGATCTATTGGTTAGATATCAGGCGTAAATTTTAACACAGTTTTAAAATATTGGCTGGGATAACTGGGCCATATCTTCCTGTTTCACTTTACACTTTGGAGTAGTGCGGGTGTCTGAAGGAAATTAGTTTGGGTGACTAATAACCCTGAGGCATTATCTAAACCCAATAAATCCAACTAAATATGAAAAGAGCCCTATATATTAACATCAATACAATGTGGGGCAGCTGTACAATACATGAATCCAAAAAACAAAACAAAACAAAAAACAGCCTTGACCTCTATATCTACCATTATAATGATGTTACACCACTATGACAGCCATCGTAATTTAGTGTCCAGTTATCGCCATGGTAACTGTCTCCAACTGACAATTGTGGCGCCGAAAGAGAAATGGGTTAAAGCAGAGACAACACTGACTCCACTTAAACAGGAATAAGGGGTGTGGCACGCATCTTTAAGGTCGAAATCTCTGGCCTACATTGAGACCATTTCTAAGATAACTGATTTATAAATAAATAAATAAATAATGAGCGTGACCGTACATTCAGCGGTTGTTTCCAGATAAAGTCGCCTGTCGGGGACAAAGGGAGACCTCAGTCACACACACTGATAACCTCTCTATTACTCGTGACGATCCATCAAGGCTCTGAGCTAAGTTACGTGTTGTTTGGTTTGACTGACATAAAACAACAACAAAAAACACCTTGCACAATATGCCTCAATATCCGATGCGTGACGTCTTCGCATTGATCCACTTTTGCGTGTCTCAACCTGTGGATTATCTGATGATTGAGAAAACCCGAGCCATCATCCGCCTGGTGATTTTCCTTTTTACTGAAACAGCTAAACAGCAGTGTCATAACGAACGAGTTCATTTTACTTGGAAATGACAAGTGGATTAATCATGGTTTTTATCCCGTTTTTGCAATATCCGCGTAGCCAGCGAATAGTGCCAACAGACACACCCTCGTGGTACATGTTCGCGTGGTAAATAACAAGCAGCCTTGGAAATGCCATCTCGATTAGTTACTGTGACCATGTACACCAGACAGGTGGTTATTATTGAAAACAATAATAATAATAATAATAATAATAATAATAATAATAATAAATGACACCACACGTTTGCCTAAAATAATTCCACAAAGAAGTTTGCACGAAAGACACAATTTATGCACACTGGGGAGGCATTATGAATAAAATTGCCTTGCCTTACAGTCTTATTGCACTCATATTCTTTTTAGACCACTGGATCCCTTTTTGTCTTTATATGAATAACACAATCAAATATGTCGCTTATTAACTTACCTTTTGTTTCTCCAGCGGACCGTTGGTTAACGAACTGATATCCACCCGCAAAAATCAGTCAGTTTGTCTCACAAGGACTCTGCTTCAAGTATTCTCATCTGTCAATATGTGCAACCTGCTCATATGTACTTCCCCTGGAAAAATAGATGTGATGACGACAACAGTGTGACTCCTGGAGTGACTGCTTATTTAGTGCGTGGAATCGTCCCTGCCGCTCCCTTTCTGCATCTCTCCCTCTCTTACACACCAGGCACGCTCACCACAGACCCTCCTGCTCACAAAATCATTAAACACCACAATAAAGAGGAGTGGATGGTTCCTTCTTTATCTGATATATGTTGTGTTTGTTATTCGCGCAATCCTTCACAAACTTATGACATGAACATAACAAATAATATGGAAAAATGGCATACAATCAAGAACAATTTCAAGAAAAATCCCAACATGAGTAGTGGCTTAAGTGCACTGCTTAGTGACTCAAGTGCAAGGTAATGCACAAAATGTTTTGATTTTAATATGGTACACAACAGTTAAAATTGTGTTCCTGAGAGAAAAAAACACCTTCATAATAATTAATCATACATAATTATATACAATCATACATTAATCAACCACAAACCGATTAAGGAAATCTCAGTAGAGCCTCAGTAAAGCCTTTCATTGAATTACAATTAGATACAATTGAAAAAAAAAAGAATCTGCTTTTAAAGCTCACTTAAATTAAAAATAAGCTTTAGTACATGCAAAAGAATAAAATCAAAATTGAAGTCAGTGCATTGATTAGCTTGTATACATGTGGGTAGTGTAAAATATATTAAATCCATGTGACCTGGGATGAGTATAGATGATGAGCACAACATTAATGAATGTATGTGGGCATTTCTGTCATGCTGCTACTCCCTCAAGACAACTTCATAGTGCAGACTTCATTGGGAGGAAAACACCAGCAGGAGGTAAAGTGATGTCACACCATAGCTCTCTGCAAGAGGCAAAGGAGGAGTTAACATAGAGAAAGCCTTCCCCTTCTAGTTCTTATTTATTCTTTTTGCTTTCACTCTTACATGCATGCTTGTGTAGATCCAGGGCAGAACACTACTGACTCTGGTGTAAACCCCAGGTTTGTTTTTTTCACCACAGCCAGCTCCCCAGCTGGTAATCCCCACCAGGTAAAAGCGACTCTCTCCCTGGCATACCAGAGGTCCACCACTGTCACCCTGGAAAAATATATTATACTTGGTTAGCAGAAATGTTACTCCAAAGTTTGCTAGATGGTCAAATCCATGCATACTTATATGATTTCTGTTAGCTGTTCCTTAATACTGACTGCTCACCTGACAGGAGTCTTTGCCTCCTTCGAGTTTCCCAGCACAAAGCATATTATTGGTCACCAGACCTCCATAAGCATCACGACTGTTACACACCCGTGTATCAATGATGTCCACACTCACTTCCATCAGATCCTTCGAGACAACACCTTTAAAAAAAAAGAAAAAACAAAAAAAGGTCATTGTTTCCTTTTCATGGCAATATAATACCCCACAATAGTAGCCTGATGTAAATATTACACATTATTGTGAGTTGCACCATCTCAGCAACAGAAATTGTGCATTGTTTGTTTTCTTCATTTTTCTTCATTTTTTATGATTAATCATTTCCCAGTCTTTTGTTTATTGATTGAGAGTTGTCACCCACCCATCAGTCGTTAACATTATTTTTTCAAGCATATTTTTCATCAGATGATTATATAGACAACAGATACTAGTTACTTTCTCATCATTCCCTGATGGCATTGTTGTTGCTTTCTTGTAATCCTTCCCCATTCTTTCTCAGCTTGCAGATTTTTTTTTTGTTTATTTTATTGCATCAGCAATGTTTAATAGTTTGCCTTTCACTGAGGAGTGGCTTCTGTCTGGTCATTCTGCCTTACAGGCCTGACTGGTGTAGTGCTGTAGAAATGGTTGTTCTTCTAAAAGGTTATCCTATCTCCACAGAGCAAAGATGGAGCTCTGACAGAGTGATCATTGGGTTCTTGGTCTCCACCCTAACTAAGGCCTTTCTTTCCCAGTACCTCAGACTGGCCAGACAGTCTGATGGTTTCAGACTTCTTCCATTTATGGATGATGGAGGCCATTATGCTCACTTTAATGCTGCAGAAGTTTTTCTTTTTCTTTTTTTTCTGCACCTTTCCCCAGATCTATGCCTCCATACAATTCTTTCTCAACAATTCATTAGCACCATCAACTATGGGACCTTATATAGATGATGTGTGCTTTTCAAAATAATGTCCAATCAACTGAATTTACCACAGATGGACTCCAGTCATGTTGTAGAAACATCTGACATATTTTGAGTGCCACAGCAAAGGCTGCGAATACTTATGCTCATTGTTCTATCAATGCATTGGGTGGGTGCTAACTTCCTACAATTTAAGGCTTTAGTTTTAGCGAGTAAAATGGCTAAACGTCACTCATAGACCAAACCTAAACTTTTAAAGCCTTATCTACAGTAAAACAATCAAACACTACTGGAAACAACAGCACTTAAACATGTAATGCAGATGTATGCAAGGCAGACTGTATTGCCCAACACATTAGTATGGAAATCATGGGAATTCCGTAAAATAAATTACATTCATGAATAACTAAAACTTGGTCATTTGCTAGATTTCTAGTCTAGATTTCTAGATACTTAACATTTATGAATTTCTGCTTACCTGAACTGGCCTGTGTGGTGCCAAAACCCGAGGTCCAGCACTGAGTTCCTTGGACAAAGTTCTGGTTATATGCTGGCAGACAAGCGGGCTGAACTTTATCTGGTTAACACAAAAATATGTATTTAAAATTTTGCCAACATATCAGCCGCCTTGTGTGCTCAAAAGGATAGTATTGTAGATAGATCTGTACATATACGGTAAAACAACTTCACTATGTAAAGCAGATTAACAGTTTGACTGTGAACTGTGAACTGTGAACTCACAGGCTTTCAAAACTCAGACTGAGCAGCAAAGGAAACATTTTCATTGCTATTACTATCCTGCATATTGTTTTAGTGTCCTGTTTTTGTTAATAATCTACATAATGTACTGTAGACTATATACAGCAGAGAGTAAGAGAAATACGTATTTGATCCCCTGCTGAATTTGGAAAAACTTTATGTGATGTGTATGGAAGCTTAAAATAAAGCTACCATAAAAATTAAAGACTGTTCCTTTCTTTGAGCAAATTCAGCATGGGATTAAATAATTATTTCCCCCACTATACTGTACAGAATATATATGCATGACACTCTCCATAGTGCTACTAAACACAGGTTTCATCATCGAAGGATTTCTGTACTGAATATTTCCATGGAGGAAGCAGTTAAATCCTTCACACACTCTGCTTTCCAACATGATGCCCACACACATGCTTATGTGATTATTAAAATCTGAACACAGCTATAGAGGTTGGATGACTACACACATTTTTTAAAGAATGTAAAGAATCAACTGACCATTGAAAGTGACTGGGGATGTAAGTTTGAGAAGAACAACATCTTGGTCATTTGTTTTAGTGTCATAGTTCTCATTGACTATGATCTTCTCAACAAAGTACGGAACAGGCAGGTTGTTCAGCGACACCATTCCACCATATACTCTCCAGTTCTGAGGGGATAGAGCCGCAGAGTCTCTGAAACCCCGAAAGACACTCTTCAATGGACAGCAACAGATTAATGTAATTTTCAGCACAGAATAATGGGCATTATGGTTTTTAAAATGTCTGAATTTTGAATTGTTAACTGCAGCTGGACCTTAAAATATCTACAATTACAATGTACAGACTCTAGGAATCAGAGAGTTTATTAAGGTAGACTATGGTCAATTTAAGAGAGTGTGATAAAAAAAAATTTACAAAGGTATGTTTGTTTTCTTTTTTTTTCTTTTTTTTTGTCACCTTGGGAAACAGTGGGCAGCAGAAAGCACAAAATCAGGGGAGATCAGGACTCCTCCGCAGACATGGGATCCTCTGAACTGTAGTGACAACTGCCAAGGCCAAAGACCTATTTTAGCTATGGTGCCACCAATGATCCGGGACGTGGCCTGCTGCTTACCACAATCTGGACAACAATGCAAGGTACCATGCAAAAGAAAGAAAGGGAAACAAAACTATTGTCAGCATGCAGTTTTATCCTTGATGAATGCAGAAAAAAATACATTGTATGTGCCAGCGTTGCTGCTGCAGTGCTGTTAGATCTTCACAGGAGTCACAAGGTTTTATGTTATCAAGGTCACCTAACAAAACACCTTGTGGCCATAACTTAAGAACTCTTTGAGTAATTTTTATTTTTACATCCGCTATTGGCCCTGTGCTCACTACCAGAAATTGCAGACCCACCACTGGCACCCTGTGCTTTTCGCAGGTAAGAGCAGGTTCACCCTTACCATATCTGAGAGACATGAAAGGGTCTAGAGAAACCTGTATGTTATGGTGATATGGTGGTTTGGGGAACCAAATTCATGAGAGGATGATCAGACTTCTGCAGGCTAGACTATGCCCCCCTGACTGCCATTAGGTATTGGGATTAAATCATTGGATCCACTGTCGCACCCTACGCTGGTGCGGTGGGTCCTGGGTTTATAGTTCATCATAATCTATAGAAATCTATAGAAATCCAGAATCGATGGATTTACACTACGTTGAGAGGCATGGAGGTGTGGCAATCTGGAGATGTTACTGAAGCTCAAGTTACTTTGCTTTGGCCTTCAGGTCATCTGTATTTTGGGGGTTTTCTTCCTCTTAAATGTCTAATAGATTCTCTTTGGGATTCAGATCAGACCGGTTGGCCAAATGCAGTAATGATTATCAGCATTCTGATCATGATTGGTAAACCATTTAGCAGTAGTTATGGCATTGTGGATAGGTTTTTATTCCGTTAGGAAAAGGAATCTCCAACTAGAAATCAATTCCTCATGAAGTTCTCTCTCCTGGTATATGGCTGCATTAACTTTTGATATGATAAAATACCACCGACATGATTTGGTGCCCCAAATCATCATAGACAGCAAAAACACACAGGACTTCAAACACTTTGGATTCTGTCTCTCCACTTTTCCTCCAGACTTCAGGACCTTGATTTACAAATGAAATGCAAAATGTAATTTGATCTTTTAAGAGTACGTTGGACATAAAGTGCAGGTAAGAAATGTTTGATATTGTTTCTCACATTCCTAATATCAAGATGTATTTGGTGGCTTTTAATGCTAAAATAGCAGCCTCTTTCCCCAAATTCAAAGCTCTGCCAAGTTCTTTGACAATCCTTTCAAAGCTTCATCTTGCCTGTTAGATTTAGCCTTTTCAGCAGTGACCTTCTGTGGCTCACCCTCCTGGAGGTTGCCAGTTATCATCATCTGAACAACCGTACAGCCAGCAATCATCCCCACGATTGCGGCCGTGTGTACTGACCAAAGCTATCAAAAATTCTAACAGAAAAATGCTTGAACCTTGAAATTTTCAGAAACTGATTCAGATACTTTTGTTAGTATTGCACTGGCTAATAGCTGCATTTCAGTCATAGGTACTGGGTGTAACATAAGACAGACATAGAAAAAGAAGTGTGTGACATATGACTGTAGGAACAGATGGAGGCTCCTTACCCACACACTGCAGGGAGACAGTCTGCTTGTTCGGACAGGGAGAACTGCATGTTGCCACAATAAGGGAAACATGTTAAAATGGGTACATGCAGTCAACCAATGCTAATGTTGTTAACCAACAAATCATATGTACCTGACATTTACCCGAGCCTGGATTGGAGCAGATCTTGTACTGTTGTTCAGTGTTAAACCTTTGGAATCTGATTGAATTGTATCTGTCATATGGACGCTGGAGACAGAGAGAAAAATGATTAGATAAACGTGCACATATAGAGACCATTTTCTGCAGTCAATATCTGAGTGAATCTGTAAACTAATTGCACTTCTATCATACTGAGATGCCCCACTGGTAGTCATTCCTGTGGAGAATCAATTCAACCCTAAACACAGCAGCAGATCAGGTGATGTTTCATGAACCTCTGTGGGTAATTACAGGTTGGGGTTTGAAGCCCACGTGTTTAAGGGCTGTTGTTGAAATCGACCCTTCCAAATGACGAGCTAAATCACTCTTTCATGAAGCCCGTGCTAGGTCTAAATGATGATAGATAATGGTAAGATATATTACTAAGATTACCTTTGATCCAAATTTTTTCTCAGCTGCCTTTAAACTTTTTAGCCTTTATTTATTTAGGGCACTAGAGAGAAGACAGCTAGTAAAGGGCCTCAGGGTGTATGCAAACCCAGGCCTCTGCAATGGTCTGGGTTGCCTGTTCTACTGAACTATACCAGCACCCAGCTATCTTTAAACTTTTTTATACACGATGTTCATTACATTTTAGGTGAGCTATGACAATAATAGGCAGGGTAAAGTGGTGATCATACTTTCTGAATCCTTGCTGCTTGCAGATCTGCTTGGCTTCATTGTCATCCCACCCTTGTTTACACACTGGTAGGAAGCGGTCATCTGTGGCTGTTTTGACCTGCAGACTGTTTCCCTCACCAAACCTCACTGGAGACGTAATAACAAGAAGGGATAACAAAAAGAATACACCTTAAATCTCCTAAGTCCATTATGTGCATATGTGACTATTATGCAATTTTAGTTTTCATTTTCCAGAAAATGTTTAATTTGCCAAGACCTTTCCTGTGCATTCTTCTAATATATTTACCTTGTTGTTAGGCATTACATAGAGTGTATAATATGAATAAAGCCAATACAATTATACATGATTCAGATTTAAGTTGGATCCCCAAAGAATTCTTACATATATTGATACATATTCCTTCTATAGATTATTATTGTTATTTTCCAATCCTACTTCATCTTCTTTCCTTGTATTAGCCCAATCCTGGTAAGGTTATGAGTGTGCTGATTTACCACAGTATGCTTCGTCAGTGCCATGTTGGCAGTCCTGTTTTCCATCACATTTGACAGCATTGTTTGGGCAGTTGTCCTTTGGCAAAACTGCACTTTGGGTTTTCTCATCATTGCTCCCATCATGCTCATCGTAGTGGATCGCTGATGTTGCACTCCTGGTGCCGTACACAACTGTGGTTGGAGAGTATGTAGTAATGATTTTAAAGTAAGTAGAGGTAGAGTGTGCCATTATTGTTATACTTCACACAAACAAAATAATGAAATAAAATAAGAACAGTAATATGCATCTTAAAATTGACTTTCCATCTCACTTAATAAATATCAGCAACTATTCATACGTACTCCAGTTAACATAAATGATTTTCAAAGTGAGCACCGCATGCGACTGACCACACAGAGAAAACATTTTGTCAGTGCCAACAAATCTCTGTGGAAGTAAAAAAAATTCATATAATTCCATTCCATTTTTATTTATAGTTGCAAAATAATGTGTCATATACTGGTAATGACGTTTAGTAACTGAGTTTATGCTTCATACTGTTTTTAAATACCAACATACACAAAAATGAGCAAATGAAAATAGATAAATTCTTACACTCTTAGGACCACAAGGGCACAAAAATACTGTAAGTAACTGAGCTTCACATGCAGATACAACAGTTTCAAATAACTTAGTTCACAAGTTTTGATGACACTGTTCAGTGATCAAAGTATACCTCCAAGCCAAATGGCCACACCCAGCAGAACAAGCAACAGTAGGACTGACACCGACACACCAATGCACCTTTTCTTGCTCTCACAGCATCCTTTTTTCTTCTTTGGGACTAAACACAGTCAGAACAAAAGCATATAGTGACACACATATTAATGATCGTTAGAGCGACTCTGACTCAACATTTATTTTATTTGTACATTTGCAATACGTGGATTTTATTCCTAGAAAAATATGGGAGGAGCAGGTATAACTCACTTGTGATGGGCTGTGAGACTTGGGGAACAGCCACAGATGGTGGATACCGAGGGATGTAACGTGGCTGGGTTGGGGGCATCATCCCTGGACCGAAGCCATACACCACCTCTTCATAAGACCTGAGGGGTGGCTGCGTGTGGACAGCAACAGAGTAGTAGGGAGGAGGGGGGGTGTCCTAAGAAAAAAGACAAAAACAATGAGGGCAAAACAAATACTCTGCAAGATTTCATAGATAAAATCTCTAACTGGACTAACAAACAATGTCATGTGACGTCTATGTCCAATATTATGTAATCACTCCTTGGGCACAAGATGCAGAATAATTATTTGATACCCTGCTGAATTTGTATGTTTGCTTATCTTTAGAGTAGTTTTATTTTAATGGGGAGAACCTGAACATTCTGAATTTCAACCAAATTAAATCAAAGTTATATATTGTTTTGCATGTCAATGAGTGAAATTAGTATTTGGTCCTCTACAGCAGCGGTCCCCAACCCCCGGGCCTCGGACCGGTACCGGTCCGTGAGTCGTTTGGTACCGGGCCCCGAGAGTTGAAGCTCAGGTGTGAAATGTATGGTTTTCAGGGTTTTTATCAGTTTTCAGCGTTATTTTGTTATTGTTTTTATCATTAACTCGGTTTTCCTGGGTCTTTTCACGTGTGTTATGAATAAATCTACTTTTTTTGGTACCGGTACTAGTTTTATTTTGTTGTATTTATCCACGACAGCTTAAAGGCCGGTCCGTGAAAATATTGTCGGGCATAAACCGGTCCGTGGCGCAAAAAAGGTTGGGGACCGCTGCTCTACAGCCTAGCTAGAAACCTGACTCTGACCACCACCATGTGCAAGACCATGGTCAAGGTCATGCAGGGGCATAGCCAGAACTCACTCATATAGAAAATCTGTGGAGAGCGCTGACGTTTGTTTCTGTAAAGAGAAGTGGGCCAAAGTGGGCCTTCCTGAGATAAGTAAAAACCTGGTGACCCCTGTGCTTGCCAACAAGGATTTTTCCAGTACTAAGTCATGTTCTAAGGCATATATATTAGGTATAATATGTACAATTAGACATACATGAGCTAGAATGGTAAATCATCCATATGTGTTTCTTGTTGTTAAGACTCTGCACATTTGTGGTTGTCAAGAGTCTGCATGTAACCTATTGTCCTCCATGATATCCAAACACTGTTATCAAGTCTACACCAGCTCAACAACCTTATAGGCACAAAGAAAGAAGTGATGTATCCTGGCAACAGTGTCTAACAGATCAGATTTAGGAGTATGTTCCTCATTTCTCAGTGATATCGTCTCTGCCAGTAGCCATATCAAGAATTTCAAACAAAGGTCTTAATCCATATTTGGAGACTTGTATGGGACAAGTTGGTGCAAAATGATAGTGGGAAAAATGCACCTAAGAACAAGTTTGTTCGCTGGGTTTTTCTTAGAGGAATAAGTGGCTCAAATACTTTAATCCACATGGGTTAAAGGTCTACCATGTGTTCATTGGGAGTGACTCATGGCACGGACTACTGACTAGTTAGATAGCCACCTTGGTAAAAGAATGGTGTCTAAGCAGCTGTCAGTGATATTTTGTGTGTGTGTGTGTGTGTGTGTGTGTGTGTGTGGTAGTGCGTTTCCCTACTGTATCTACCAAATAACTGGTTTTGGTATCACTTCATTGTTAGCAAGTGTTACTTTAAGTTTTCCCAAATGTGTTGGAGGTTAATCTGGGCAAAACAAGGATGTTGTAACACTTTCTAATGCATTTTTTCTTTTTGTTTGTTTTAAGAGGGTGTGGTATTGTTTTTGGTTAACAAAAAAGTTCCAGTAAGCATTTGTCAACCTTAGGGTGTCATTGACTGGAATCACTGCATATAACAATATCTCTCTGATTGTCTTTCTACTACAGAACAATCCAGCAATCCAGCACCCTAACACTGACCCGGTGCCTCGTTTTCTTTTTTCCTAAGATGATAAAGTTAGTCTGTGGGCCATACCTCCCCATTTTTATCAATTATTAACAATGAAAGTTTGCCCAGGTTAAAGTTTAGTGAAATGAAGGTCAGCATTAGAGCATCAGCAATCTCTTTGTCTTTGTTCACTTCCCGTCTAATTTTAAATTTGTCTCTCACCCCTGGCCCCCACCCCACACTTTGAGAATCACTACACCAAGACATGCTGTGTTTATTCTGAAAGGATTTTGGCTTGTGCTGCTAGTGTTTCAGTGTCACATGCACCATTTCCTTGAAATAGTGTGCAATGGCATTTTAGGTATGTTTTCTCTTACTGGCTAGGTGATTCAGGTGACTCTGCTACCCAGTCAGCAGCAGTAAAAAACCCTGTGAGTGTGCACAATGGACTATAATTGCCATAGGTGTAGCACTTGTGTAACATAGCATGGTGTTCATTGCCCATTGTTTTGCTTTAAAAGATGTTTGTCTATTTTTTGTCAGGGATGAATCTGAATCTGTTGGTTGAAGAAAACACTTTTTTCTTTGTTATTTACTGCACTGGTTATAGACCGCAATTTTGTTAAGGAGCAAACAAGTTAAAGAAGATTCATCCTCATGTGTTCACACCGGTTATGCAGATAGAGTCAATCTTTACCTAGTTATATGATTACAAAGTACTTAAAGTCTTATAAATTATGTCCACTGTGCTAAATCAAATTTGGGCAGAAAAATGTGAATTTGATTTGTTATTTTCTTCATCAATAACAGCATGATCTTTGGTTTTAAACAAGTTTTCTGCTGATTTCTTCAATATTCATGTTTTCTTGTTTTAATGACAAATGGTCTGATTAATTTATATAAGTTGTTATAAGAATAACAACACTGGTCAACAAGCATTTTCCTTCTGGGACTCTTTCACCTGTATTTTAGCAGATTTTACTGGCTGACACCAAACTGGAAAATTATGTTCCAAGTACTCGCCAACTTGGATGATGTTTCAGCATTTAAGAAATAAGTTTGGTCTCAAGAAAAGTAAAACCAAAATTAAGGAAAGCATTTTTGTTGGTCCTGAAATCTGTGAATGGATGTCTGATGATTATTTCCAAATGAAACTGAACCCAGCTCAACTAGGTTGTCCAGAATTTTCTTAGCAGTCACAGAGGAAAAGGTTTTCCTGAGTTTTGGATAACATACTGAAAGTGTATGTGTTTTTGCCACGCTCATTGCTGGAGCATGGCTCATGGATTTCATCAAAATAAAAAGCCAATATCAACTCTTGGTCCCTACAAAGACAAACAGACATGCAGTACAAGTGAAAAACCAAGAGCTAAATTAACAGAGATTTGCTGTAACATATCTCTAGTATTTTCTTCTGGTTTGCTTACAAAGGAAACAAATTAAAACAGACTTGGCAGAAAATAGTTACAATTCCAAACATTGTGTTGATATATTGATGTTCAGCAGTATCAAAACATGAGTGATGTGTATGTCACAAACCTGACACGCAAGCTTTAATTTGATTACATATCTGAAATCACTGTAAAACAATGGATAAAGACCTGGAATTTCCTACTTGCAAATAAAAATATATTTTGTAGATCAGTCTAATGAGGCAAACCTTCTACTGGTGCCTGGTTGTGTCTAAAGGTAACAAAATCTACCAACCAACATATCACTAACTTACATGTGAAACTATTTTCAGCTAAATTAAGCAAAAGTATTTTTGTACAGCAATTAAAACGTGTGCTAATTTTAGTACTGTGACATGCGACATGCAGGAACGAAGCTGGTGATATCAAAGTTTACAAATGCTAAATGCTCTGTGGCTGTACCTGTTTGAACACAGCATGCCTTAATCACCTGTTTCCATTATCAACTAAGCCTCTGTAGAAAGTCATACAATGTGAAAAAACAAGTTTCTGATGAGTCATTTGACCTCCTGACATTCTTACAGCATTTGTTTTCACATACATACATTTTTTAAACAGTTCTTGTCACGTTGTAAGTTATTTCAATCCTGAAACTGCTGCTATGAGCAGTTTGCAGTTTGTGTATGAACCGCACCAAGAAATTGAGAAAAAATAAGATGTGCTATTAGTGTAAGGGTCACTGGTAAATAACCCTTAAAGAAATACTTCCCTTTATGCAGTCTAAATTTTGGGCTTGACCATTGCCTTTCCTCAGCTGTTGAGACCTTTTTCTAATATCAATGTGATCACACTTCCATAAACTGGGGAGACGAGCATATAGTTCTCAAAATTTAGATTTGCTATTACGCCTGTTTCAAGTTAAGTTCAGTAAAAGTTGAAAAAAAAAACTGTGAAGGCAAGCATTACTCACCAACAAAGATGTATAGTTTTTTGGTGTTTTTTTTAAAAAAGACCTATAGGCAGCATAAACCTTACTTTATTGTAATCAAATGCCTAAGCAGAATTAGGTGGAGGTATAGTCATATTTCTCAGCATAGTGCACACGGTCATATTTCACAGTTTGCTCTCCAGCTATTATTATAAATAAAAGGTGGAAAAATTAGAGGATCTATGCAACACAAAGAACAGCATCACTCACGCAAACCATGTCATCTAAAATTACAAAATCCATCCATCCATTTTCTTCTGCTTGCACAGTTCAGGGTAAGCTACAACATAATCTGATATAAAATGGTAAACTAAAACTGTCCCTTTTTTTTTTAATCTGCCAGCCTTGTATGGGCAAAATTAATAATTCTAGATTCAAACACAATATCCAGAACATACAATGAAATGCAGAAAGCTGCAATCACGGGTATTTTATCTCTCTCTTTATTTTATCTAAAAAGACAAGAGTCAGTACAATGAAAATGTGAAGTTTAATAACATTATTTCCTCCATCATCACATCAGGAATATACACAATTTCACAGACACAGTCTAAAATTGAATAAAGAATACAAATAATTGCCCATATAGACTAGATAAGCTAAGACAGAAAGCCTCTATAACACCTGAAGGAAAGTGAAGTCAAACCTTTCGCTCTGTAATCTCTATACTGAACAACATTCTTCAGCCTTCTGGGGAATGCTACATATACTCACAAGCAACACACTTCTCTAAATTCAAAATAATGCAAACTGAAGCAGAAAACACAGCCATCATTCAGGTGAGCAGTAATTAAGTGGGAAGTTTGACTATTGAGTGAAGACACGCCAGCAAGAATCAGAACCTACCGGGTCATGTTTATCCATTGGATTCAGGAAAGCAAAGTGTGTAGAGTGGAGGTGAGAGCAGGTGGGTGGAGCTTTTTCAGTGCAGGTTTACAAAGTCTGGAGCATGGTGGTGAAACATTAAGCACGTTTGTTCTTCTCCTTCCTTTCGTCTCCTCTGCTTTCTACCCACTGTGTTTCCCACTCAACTTAAACCAAGCAATAGGTAGGTAGGCCTATCTTCCCCCTCCCATCGTAATACCTCCCATGTAAATCATTCCTTCTTTGCTTCACAGAGACGGGTGTGTCCAGTGCACCAATATCCTACCTGTCAGACCAGTTTTGTAGCAGCAGCATACTGACATTGATTCACAGTATGAAGCTCAAATAACCTAAGCTGAGCTGTCAGGGCCTCTTCTCCCGAGAGTATGACATGATTTCTTTTTCAATCTGGAATTCATGTAGAATTGGATGTAGAATTCACCACAGTGTATTTAAACCCTGGAGACAAGCAGACTGCCCGGCCCCACAACAGCAGAGCAGCCCATCAGCCTGGACCCCGAACAGACGACCAGCTCCTCCTGGCTATCTGGTCGTCTGGTCCATGACTTCTCTTGGAAGACAGCATCTCATTCTTGGCTGGGGAAGAGAAACTCTGGGCCTTCTTTCTGACTATAGCGTCGAAGCACCAGTCAGTGTATTCCTTCAGAGCATCCAAATTCTCCTTGTTGTCCTCCAGGGTGTTGGACATTATTATGCAGATATGTGTTGTTGTCTGTCAATTTTCTGGTGTGTTTTAAGCTTTAAAAAGTGTCTGTTTAATCTTTATTCCCACAAGTCTCCAGCATCTGACCTCACCTACAGCATTTCCGTTCCACATAGCATCTACCCAGGAAGACTTCTACATTATTAGTGCGATTTCTCCCTCTGAAAAATAGAGGCAGGTGGATCGTTACAATTATTGATAGTTTATTAGTATTGTTATCGGATCGATATGATATGATATGATATGATATGATATGATATGATATGATATGATATGATATGATATGATATGATATGATATGATACGATATGATATACCTTTATTAGTCCCACAAGGGGAAATACTGGCACGATAGGATTGATACTTTGTTTCTATCATCGTAAGATGATTCATCTCATAAATCATGACACACTGCTCTCCCCTATGTATCTGTATCGCTATTGGCAATTCTGGTCCAGTATTTACTTGGGATCAGGTTGATACCAGAATTTGCAGTATTGCACAGCACTTCTTAAAAACAAAAATAAAATGAACAATATATTTTACATTGTATAATAATTATTACATAATTACATAATAATTACTACAAATTAAAATTAAAATATCCAAATTCGTATTGAATTCATTTTTTTCTGAAGGTTAAATAAACATTCCACTTTCAAAAAAGAATAAAGGTAGCACTTTATATTGATGTCACACTACTAAGCATTAGTATTAAGGTATTATTAAGGTATAAGCAAGTGCTTAAATCATCATTTATGTTGAATTAGTCTGTAATTCACAAATATAGATGTGTTTTTATCTGTATTAATATTATATTTATAAATATATCTGTTACAGTTACTCCATGTACAGCTATCACTACTGTACATGGTGTAACTATGTACAGCCATCATTGCTACTACATTACTGCTAGTAATAATCATAATCATAGTCATAATAATATCTCTGTATTTATAAATGTCATAATAAGGAGGGGTAATGCTATATAAATTATGAATTAAGTACATGTTAATGATTTACTAATATCTTAACTGTAGTTAATACTTTGGCATTATTATAAAGACATTATTATAAAGTGAATTTTATGGTAATTATTTCATTGTTCGGGCTTTAAAACATTAACCAAAATTAAATACTGGTGGCAAAATCACAAGGAACCAAATCGTGGTAATACAAGTAATTTTGGATGTGCGAGAAAGCATTTTTCTCACGAAGTTGGTGCCTTTCTGCACAGATGTGGCTCCTGGGTATTTCTGATTTGCACCTGCCAGATTCACTTTACATATGATCTCTACTTCCTCTTGCAGCCACACATTTCTTCAGTTGTTCTTTTTTACCCCCTTCAATTTGAAACTAAAACATAACTTTCATCGCTGTTTTCGCTTTGACCATTGCAAAATGTATAACTGACAAGTCAAGTCAGGTCGGAATTTATTTCTATAGCAGATTTTAAACAACCTCAATTGTTGTACAGGTTCTAAGAAAAATACGCTATGCATAAAAATCACTAAATCAAAAATAAATATACACTAAAATCATGAAATGAAAAATACACATAAGTCTGTGTTTGCATAATAAAAACTAGTGAACTCTGCTCAACTAGAACTAATAGCAAGCAAGAATAAGTAGGTTTTAAGCAGTGTTTTGAAACGACTAAGAGAGTGGGTGGCTTTTATGTGAAATGATCAGTTGTTGTTGTTCCTTCAATTAGGAGCCACAAATGAAAAGGCTCTATCACCTCTGCTTTTAAGGTTTGATCTAGGAATATTGAGGAGCAGCTGGAAATGCAGCGACGCAAAAGTCAGTTGAATAAGGTGGTGCCAAACCATTGAGACTCTTGAAAATCTGAAAGTCCCACTAGGCTGATCATTTTCACCAACCTACCAGTATTTCCCAACCAAGTAGGAAATATTGGTAGGTTGGTGAAAATTAAAGAAAAAACTCAAATCTTCCCTACAGTGATGGAATCCAGCAAATGTTTTGCTTCGGGTGGCATTTTGCTGGAGTGTTTTTTGGGTCTTTTGAACTTTTACGCTCTTCATTACCCTCCCAATGGAATATCTTTTAAGCAAAAAAACAGCTTCTTTCCACCTGTAGAGTTCCAGAGGCTTATAGCATCAATACAACACACAGTGAAGTTGTTATGGCAGCACATACTGGTCTAACACAATGTTAATACCAACTTTGTCTTAGTTCTGGCTTTAATTTTTTCACTCATCTGTAGTTTAGTGTAGTGGATACTATTTCTGCAAACTCTTTGCATCTCTGTTGCTCATCTTTGCTGAACCGTTGTTGAGCATGTCGCATAATACGTATCTTACAAACTGTAAACATGAATGTCTTCACGTATCCTCAAGTCATCCAGGTAAGGGAATCCCAGGAAGCTGATTCTGTTCACCTGGACGTTGAATTTCCTTCGGGATTAATAAAGTATTCTGATTCTAATTCTGATTCTGAATTTACAGTTTCAGAAATGTTTCATGACTCATCCAGGTGACTTCTTCGGGCTCTGAATGCAAAATCCAGATGAACAGAATCAACTTTTTGGAAACATGAATGTGGGACATTCGCAAACTGTAAACACAGTTTTAGATCTGAATCTGAATTTAGATCTGAATTCCCCCAAGTTTCCTTTGTTGTGACTCTGCATGACTGTAAAACTGATGCATAAAAGATAATGACCTTAAAGGAAATGTGCTTAAGTGTAATCCAGGTGTTGTAATGTAGATCTATATTATGAGACCTGATGTTCAGCGTTTTAATTTGTCTGCTCATTAGTGGTTTATTCATGGCTGATATTAATGAGATACTTAATGATGCATTGAGTCTGTGAT